CGGCGCCGTGGCCCGGACCCCCACCCAGGGAGCCTGGGAACAGACGGGCGCCCACCTGCTGCCCTTCCCTCTGCCCTGCCCGGCCCTGTGCAGCACATCCTCCTCCCATCCGCCACGCGGCTCAACTTTGGGTGGGCCAAGAGCCACCTTCCACCCACACTATGAAGACAACAGCCCCGCGCCCCTTGTTTGTGCAGCTCCCGTGGCCTCATTCGACCAGAGGCCTCGGGCTACTTTGGTCACAGCTGTTTCCTCAAGCAAGGGGGAGGCGGGCGGATGGACCGAATGCTAACAACTGGGAGCAGCTCAGCCCCCTGCATCCCCTCAGGAGTCCCAACGGGACGAGAAAGAGCCAATCTCACAATCAGCCAGGGACCCACTCGAGCCAGGCTGCCTCCCAGGCTGGGCCAGGGTGGCCCTGGGTGCGGGGCCCTGGGGGGCCGGCTGGCAGCCCAACTGGCACAGCTGTGCACTCACTGTGCAGGTAGTCGGCCAGGTCCCCACCGTTGCAGTACTGCAAAAGACCAGACATGCATCAGGCTGCAGCAGGGACCAGGGCCCACCTCCCAGCCCTGCCCAGCCTCCCCACCCCTCACACTTGGACACTACTCCCTGGGCCCTCCGGCGCCTGCCCACCCCAGGGCAGGTGTCCCCACAGTCCCTGCTGGAAGACATCAGTAGTGATGCTCAGCAGTCATGGCAGCTGACACCTGTAATCCCAGCACTTTGGGAGGCCGAGGTGGGCAGATCGCTAGAAGTCAGGAGTTCAAGACCAGCCTGGCCAACGTGGCGAAACCCCATCTCTACTAAAACTACAAAAATTAGCCGGGCTTGGTGGCACACACCTGTAATCCCAGCTACTCGGGAGGCTGAGGCAGGAAGATTGCTTGAACCCGGAGGTGGAGGCTGCAGTGAGCTGAGATCGCACCACTGCACTCCAGCCTGGGCGACAGTGAGACTCCATCTCAAAAAAAGAGAAAAGGTGCTCGTCACCCTCCCCCCTGGCCACATCCCTCCCTCTGGGGCTCCCAGGGCCATGGCCATCAGCCTGCACTTGTCCTCACACCACAAGGCACTCACCTCCATGACCAGGTAGACAGAATTAGCCATTTCCTGCAAGACAGAAAAGAGGCTGTGAGAGGTCCCAGTGCCCCCGGGCCCTACTGCAGGGAGTCTGGCTCAGCCCCAATTCAGCCTGGGCAGGCCCTGCAGTGCCAGGACTTAGCTGGTCATCCGGCAGCCAGGAGACAAGGACATCTGTGGGCCACATGCTTTGTAGGTGGGTGTGTTCTGTGTTTTGTGGCCATCCAGGTCTCCATCATGATCAAGGTAAAGGCCCCTGGTCCCCCATATAAGCGACAACTCCTGGCAGAGGACATACCCTCTAGCAGGAAGGGTGAAGGCCAGGTGTGTGGGCAGGCCTTGGCCCTCAGGCCACAGACACTTCTCAGCTCCTGAGCCCAGGATCAAAGACGCCCCAACAGGGCTGGTCGCAGTGGCTCACGCCTGTAATCCCAGCACCATGGGAGGCCAAGGTGGGTGGATCACAAGGTCAGTGTTTGAAACCAGCCTGGCCAACATGGTGAAACCCCGTCTCTACTGAAAATACAAAATTTAAACAGACGTGGTGGTTCACACCTGTAATCCCAACACTTTGGGAGGCCGAGGCAGGTGGATCACGAGGTCAGCAGTTCGACACCAGCCTGACCAACATGGTGAAACTTCGTCTCTATTAAAATACTAAAATTAGCCAGGCGTGGTGGCGTGCGCCTGTAATCCCAGCTACCCAGGAGACTAAGGCAGGAAAATCACTTGAACCCGGGAGGAGAAGGTTGCAGTGAGCTAAGACCGTGCCACTGTACTCCAGCCTGGGCAACAGAGTGAGACTCCATCTCAAAAAAAAAAAAAAAAAAGAGACGCCAACAGATTGCAGATTGGCACTGCCAGGCTGACCCAGAGGCCTGGAGGCCTCCAGCTGCCCTACCCCAACCTGGCTGCAGCTTAGGCTGCCACCCCTCGACCCAATGCCTTCGGTCAGAGGCATCCCAGCCACCCCCTCCACTGCTGGGCCAACAAGGCCTGGCCAGCAGCTGCTCAGCCCTCAGCTCAGACACAGACCTGACCAGGGGTGCCACCTGCACCTGCCCTTGCCTGCCCCATGAAACTCAGAGTGAGCCACAGGCACAGACACAGCACACACCCCAACGGCCAGCATGCATACCCCCTCACCTGGGACTGGGAGCCTCCCTGTAGCCCACCACTCACTCCCCGCAGCCACAGGAACAAGCCCTCATCACTCCCGTTTCACAGACAAGGAGAGTGAGGCCCAGGAAGCCACATCAAACCAGGCAGGCTGGGCTGGAGGAGCGAGGGCCCCACATACCCAATTTGGGGCCTCCGAACAGGAGGAAGCCCTCAAAGCCCCTCCCTCTGCCCTGTACACATCCACACGCTCTAGGCCTCCCTCTGCCCTGTACACATCCACACGCTCTAGCCCCTCCCTCTGCCCTGTACACATCCACACGCTCTAG